TAGGTATGCACCCTGATTGGAAATCGAACCCCCAACCTTTTGGTGTGTGGAACAACGTTCCAATCAACTTCAAAAGAGTCACTTGGAGGAAATTTTAATTCCTGTATTTCTTCTCACACCTAAATTGACTTGCATTTTTTGTGTTTGTCAGTCTTCTCAAAGATGGGTTATTCCATTTTAAGAACATTCATATAGATAAAAATTAGTTAACATAGAGTCTTATCTCTACTCCCAAGGGATGACAGTCAACAAAATCAGCTTAATTTTACTTTACAGGTGAAATTTTTAAGTTTTATTTCTATTATTAATATATATTTGTGTTTGATTTTTTTAAAGACAGGTTTATTGAGGTACAATCTATATGTAATAAAATAAATACATTTTATGTGCAATTTGATAAGTTTTTGGCAAATACATAGTTCTATAACTACCATTAGTTTCAAATTATAGGATGTTTCCATTACTGCACAAAATTCCTCGTGCTCATTTGCAATCTACTCCTCCAGCAACCCCCAGTCCAAGACAACCACTGATCTGCTTTCTTTTGCCATATAGTGTGACCTTTTCTAGCATTTCATATAAATGAAACATGCAGAATTGAACCATTAACCAGTTCATAGATATTTTTTTAAAGACAGGTTTATTGAGGTACAATCTATATGTAATAAAATAAATACATTTTATGTGCAATTTGATAAATTCTTTTATCAGCTGATAGACATTTGGATTACTGTGCTATTATGAATAATGGTGCTATGAACATTCTCATATAGTAATTTTTGTGGACATAGTTATTTTTTTGAGTAGATACCTAGGAATTCCTGGCTTATATGGTGTCTGTTTTTAAGAAACAGCCAAATTCTTCAGTATGGCTGTATAATTTTGCATTTTAACTTCATTGAATGAGCATTCCATTGCTCCATAGCCTCACCAACACTTGTTATTGTCAGTTTTTAATTTTAGTCATTCTAGTGGATGTGTAGTGTTAATTCATTGTGGTTTTAGTTTTAATTTTCCTGATAACTAGTGATGTTGAGCATCTTTTCATGTGCTTATATTTATAATAATTTTATATATTCTTCTGTAAGAATATATAAGAATCTATTTGTATATATTCTTTTGTGAAATGCTTGTTCAGATCTTTTACCTATTTTTTAATTGGTTGTTTCTTGATTATATTTTGTTTTAAAAGTTTTTTTTATATATTCCAAATACAATTTCTTTGTTATATATTTTGGAAATATATTCTTCTAATTTGTGACTTGCCTTTTCCTTTTAAAAAATATATATTTTGAAGAGCAGTAGTTTTTACTTTTGAAGTTGTACAGTTTAGCAGTATTTTTCTTAGAGATTCATATTATAAGTGTCCTATCTTAAAATTTTCCATAGCTCAAGGTTTACAAAGATTTTCCTTCCAGTAGTTATACTTTTAGCTTTATTTCAAATATCATGTATTTAAAACTAAATTTTTGATATGGTACGATATAGTCCAAATTGGTTTATTTGTATACAGATATCCAGTTTTTTAGCATCATATGTTTAAAAGACCATTTTTATCTCCATTCAATTACATTTGCATCTTCTTGAAAATTAATTGACTAAAAGCATAGGTATATTTTTGGATTTTGTTCTGTTAATAGAAAAGATTTATATTAGGGGTCACAAATTAAGGCTTACAAGCCAAATAAGTCTTGTGGCTTTTTTTTTTTTTTTTTTTTTTTTTTTTTTTAAATAACGTTTACTAGCACATGGCCATGCCCATCACCTTGGGATCCTGGTAGATTTGAATAGTTCTCACAGAGACCATGTGTCCTACAGGCTGAAAATATCTAGTATATGACAATTTATGGGGAAAAATTTGCCAACCCCTGATCTACGATACCAATCCTGATCTTCATACCAATACCATATTCTCTTGATTACTATAGCTTTGTAATAAGTCTTGAAATCAAGTTGCCTTCCAACTTTGTTCTGCTTTTAGAGAAGGGCCTACCTATTTCAGGACCTTTGTGATTTTTTTTTTTTTTTTTTTTTTTTTTTTTTTAACTATGTTTTAGAAATCAGCTTGTCAATTTATACAGATGCCTCAGAGGATTTGTGATTGGGAATGCATTGAATCTATAGATCAATGTGTAGGGAATTAAAAGCCAAAAAATATTAAGTTTTCTGTTCATGGATGTGGTATATTTTTCTATTTGTTGAAGCTCTCTTTAATTTCTTTCAGTAATGTTTGTTTTTAATGTATAGGCCTTGCAAATCTTTCAGGAAATTTATTTCTAAGTAAATTTTATTGATGCTAATATAAATGGAATTATAAAAAATTTTCCTTTTTAAAAATATTTTATTGATTTTTTTTTTTTTACAGAGAGGGAGAGAGAAGGATAGAGAGTTAGAAACATGGATGAGAGAGAGACATCGATCAGCTGCCTCCTGCACACCCCCTACCGGAGATGTGCCCACAACCAAGGCACATGCCCTTGACCGGAATCATACGTAGGACCCTGCAGTCCGCAGGCCGATACTTTCTCCACCGAGCCAACCGGTTTTGGCAAAATTTTCCTTTTTAAGTTGTGTGTTGCTTTTGTGTAGAAATAGAATTTATTTTTACATATTGACCATGTGTACTACTCACTGTGCTAATAAATTTACTCATTCTTCTAGTTTTAATAGATTCATTAGAATTTTCTATGATCAAAACATCTGTGAATATAGTATTACTTCTTCTTTCCAATCTGTCTGCCTTAATCCACTGATTAGAATCTCCAGTACAGCTAAAACCGGTTTGGCTCAGTGAATAGAGTGTCGGTCTACAGACTGAAGGTCCCGGATTCAATTCCGCTCAAGGGCATGTACCTTGGTTATGGGCACATCCCCAGTAGGGGGTGTGCAGGAGGCAACTGGTCGATGTTTCTCTCTCATTGATGTTTCTAACTTTCTATCCCTCTTCCTTCCTCTCTCTAAAAAATCAATTAAAAAAAAAAAAAGAATCTTCAGTACAGTGTTGAATAGAATTGGTGAGATCAGACAACCTTGCCAATATTGATCGTAGGTAGTATCATTCCGTTTTCCCCCATTAAGATTAACTAGAGGTTTTATAGATATCTTTTATCAGACTAGGAAACTCCTTTTTATATAGATTTTTATTTTTATTTTTTTATATATATTTTCTACAGAGAGGAAGAGAGAGGGATAGAGAGTTAGAAACATCGATGAGAGAGAATCATCGATCGCACACCCCCTACTGGGGATGTGCCCGCAACCAAGGTACATGCCCTTGACCGGAATCGAACCGGGGACCCTTCAGTCTGCAGGTCGATGCTCTATCCAATGAGCCAAACTGGTTTCGGTGAGATTTTTATTTTTTTTATTTTTTTATTTTTTTAAAATATATTTTATTGATTTTTTACAGAGAGGAAGGGAGAGAGAATAGAGTTAGAAACATTGATGAGAGAGAGTCATCAATCAGCTGCCTCTTGCACACCCCCTACTGGGGATGTGCCCGCAACCAAGGTACATGCCCTTGACCGGAATCGAACCTGGGACCTTTCAGTCCCCAAGCCGACGCTCTATCCATTGAGCCAAACCGGTTTCGGCGAGATTTTTATTTTTTAAGTCATGAATGACTTGAATTTTGTAAAATATTTCTCTGCATCTATGGAAATATGTTTTATTCCTGTGAACATGATAAATTACATTGATTTTTGGATGTTAAACTAAATTTGCTTCTTGTGACAAACCCACTAAGTCGTCATGTAGTATCCCCCTCCCACCTGAATTAGTATTTAACAAATTTCTTAATTGTTTGATAGGATTTACTAGGGTAATAATATGGGGTGGCTTTTTGGTTTTTGATTATTAATAACTGCTTTTAGGAAATTCAGTTTTCCCTCAGCTCAATAAAAAGGGCACTTTCTTGGCACCAATAAATTTTAAAATTTATTAGGCTTTATTCTGCTTTCTGGTTTTGTTACACGTGGAAGAGGCATTTATGAGAAGTTTGTAACCAACCTTCCTAAGTGTACACTTTAAATTACAGTAGTCTCTCCACTTGTCCTCGAGGGGTACATACAAAGACCCCAGTAGATACCCGAACTTTGGATAGTGTTGAAGCCTATATTATATACTGAGAGGCCCGGTGCATGAATTCGTGCATGGGTGGGGTCACTGGGCCTGGTGGCAGGGGGGAAGGGACTTCAGGAGGTTGGCCTTGGGAGCGCACTCACCACCAGGGGGCAACTTTAGCATTCAGTGTCATAGCAACTAGTTGTTTGGTCATAAAGATCGCTTAGGCTAGATAGATAGATAGATAGATAGATAGATAGATAGATAGATAGATAGTGATAGTTGTTTCCTATACCCATATTTCTGTGGTAAAGTTTGGAGCCATTATTAAGTAAAGTAAGGATTACTTGAACACAAGCACTGCACTACCATAACATTCTAATAACCAAGACGGCTACTAAGTGTCTAATGTCAGCAATGGATATGCTAGAAAGAAATGATTCTTGTACTAGGCAGTACAGAACAGGATGAATGAGATTTTATCATGTGCAATTTAAATATATATTTTATCGATTTTGTACAGAGAGGAAGGGAGAGAGATAGTTAGAAACATCCATGAGAAAGCGTCATCGATCAACTGCCTCTTGCACACCCCCTACTGGGGATGTGCCTGCAACCAAGGTACATGCCCTTGACCGGAATTGAACCCAGGGCCCTTCAGTCCCCAAGCCGATGCTCTATCCATTGAGCCAAACCGGTCTCGGCTATCATGTGCAATTTAAATCTTAAGTATTGTTTACTACCTAAAACATTATTGAACGTTTTAGATAGTGGTTGACCATGGGTAACTAAACCACAGAAAGACAAACTGGATAAGGGGGAACTACTGTAATAGGGAAATAATTTTACAGTTATATTTTGGCTAAATATTTAATGCTACCCTTGTTATAAAGTATTTGATTACTTTGTCTATTTGCCTTTGTTTTTGTTAATTTTAGGAACTTAAAAGGACTCTGGAAAACCAAGCAGAAGGGAACATGGAAGGCCAGAATTCCCGGAGTCCTCAGCAGATCTCACAGGGGCTCAACACATGCTCAGAGCAAAATGGTCATGTTTCTGCAGTACCACATACTCAACCAGTTCTGCAATATGGTAATCCTTATGCAACACAGGAGACAAGAGGTTATTACAATATTTTTAGTTTGGGGTTAGCTGAATCCTGAGGATTTTTGTTTTGTTTATATCTTTGTGGGATTAGAGAACTACTGGTACAGTCAATTCTAATAGAAACATTATAATGAGTAGTTTTAATGTTTAACACTTACTGGCTTCATCCCAAAGTGATATGCCATGAATGAATAATCTGTTTATTGCATACAGTTCTTATTTTGAGTCACTTGGGTTAAAAATATAAATATTTTTTGATGCGCTAAAATGTTTTTTTTATATTGTTTGTCATAGCTATACACAGCAATTCTAATTTTAGTACCAGCTTTTACCTCCCTTGCAAAACATTTTTTTCAGATGGAGCAGATGGTGCTTATTACCCAGATGAAATCCAAAGGCCACCTGTGAGAGTACCCTCTTGGGGCCTGGAAGATAATGTTGTCTGCAGCCAGCCTGCTCGAAACCTTAGTCGGCCTGATGGTTTAGAAGACCCTGAGGATAGTAAAGTAAATTGAATTTCCATTTTCTGAGCCTGTCCCTTTTTTCTCTCCTACATACAGAGTTATGTGGTCATGGGTGTCTTGAGAAAATATGTTCTTGTGTGTACACATGATTACTTGATTTTTTAAAAAGCCTGCTTGTATTTAAATTTGAAAGACCAGCCTTTAATATGCTTCATATTTATACTTTAGGATTTATACTAAAATAAAATAGTAAGTTTGGAGACTGACCTGAAAATGTTAACAGAAAGTTTAATTAAAATTGACATATGACAATATATTAGTTTCGGCTATATACATGATAATTTAGTATTTGTATATATTGTGAAATGATCACCATTAGTCTAATGACATTTGTTTTTCAGTTTTCCCCCTTGTTATTAGATCATAAGATGTACTCTTAGCAACCTTCAAATATACAGTACAGTATTATTAAGTATGGTCACAGATAGTTTAATCTTTATTTTTATGAAGTAATTTAATCCTTTGATGCAGATGTAGTAGACTGGAAGAAGCAAAGTATTATGATATTATGCTGTAATGTGCATCTTTTCATTTTAGCACTTAGAGTCCACCTTAAAATTTAAAGAAAATTAAATTTTAAGGTGGACTCTATTTAGCTAAAAAAAAAAAAAAAAAAAGGGAAGTATATGTATTTTTTTTTTCAGAGAAATTTTCTTTTAGACATTATTAGTATTTAATCTCCCAACAACACAGTACTGATAATTAAATTAGTTTATGTAGTGTGTCTCTGTTTTTATTTCATTTAAGGGATTTATTTAATAAATAGGTTCTTTTCCTCAGAGCAGCTCCTTCTGAATTTCTTATGCATTAATAAGAATTTAAAAGAAATGCTTTATTGTGATCTTTGCAAGTACAGTGGTATCATGACCTGTTTCTCATTTAATCTAGTTTGCTGCATTTAATTGCTATTAACCTTTGCAGAAACTGATCAGTGTTCAGACAGACATGATTTTAGCCCTAGTGCTCAACACTCATAATGGAGAAAAATGTATTTCTCTCTTCTGCCTTTTGACCTCCTGTGTCCATTACTGGGAATAATTAGGAAAACTGTCAGAACTTCTGTAGCCTATTTAAGGTTTAGAGTATCATCTTACTGCTTTTTCAAACCTTTATTTCACACTTTGCATATTTAATCTGATCGTTCTTGGCACAGATGTTACATGTGACAAGCCCTTCTCTCCCATAGTCATCTGCTTCAGTTTAATTAGCAGAATGTTCTTTCTGATCTGTGTGCTTTGCCCTTCTGCAAACCCATGAGAAGCAGTGTTAGAGGCTTGTGCTCATTTGCTGACATGCTTATTAGATTTGGTAACGAGATGGAAGGGCTGTTAATAGGCATACCTTGGGGTAATTATATTTTGCAATAAGATTTTTTGCATTACCCAGAAATTTATTTTTATGTACATTCAGACCTTCATATAAAAATATTTTTGTCATTAAAACAAACAAAAAAAAAAACAATTGCAACTAAAGTATTTGAGTAATTTTAGTTAGAATATAGAAAACAGATTTGAGTTGACCTATTCCTTTTCTTTGGTTCTGTTCCCTGGAGTGATAAACAGCCACAGGACCCAGGATCTTTGAGTCAGGGTTGAGGTGGACCACTCTTAATGGCCTGTTCCTGCCATATCTCCTCCTAATAGAAATGGTGGTCAGCTATCAGATCAAAAACCTTTTATGACTCCCTCTTACTTAATAATTGCAATAGCAATAACTTAATAATTGCAATAGCAATAACTAACCAAGTTGTCATGATGGTGATGGCAACAAACATTTCTGTAGCTCTTTTGCCAGCTAATGTTTAGCTTTCTAAATATATTCACTTATTTGTTCTTTGTAGCAGTCCTGTGAGGAGCTGTTCCTGTTTCTATTTAGAGGCATTGTGAGCCAGCTTAACTGGCTTGCTTCACATCACACTGCTGGTGAGGTATAGTCAGGATTTGAGCCATATCACTTTGGCTTATAGAAGCTATGATTTTCAACCATCTATCAATTATTAATCAAACAGGCTAAAGCAAAGGTTCCCAAACTTTCTCCCTTCAGGACATCTTGAGCATCTCAGTACCTCATAAGTGGAATCTTTTTGTAATTGACATGTTTCATTTTTAGATTCACTTGATAGTTACATATTTGTTGTTCATAATTTTTATCTTTATTTTCTTCCTCTTCCTAAAGAACCCCCTTCAGCAAGTCATATAATTCTGATTGGGTGGTGATGAACTCCTTTAGCTTTTTTTATTTTATTAATGAAGCTCTTTATCTGGCCTTCCATTCTGAATGATAGCTTTGCTGGGTAGAGTATTTTTGGCTGTAGGTTCTTGTTATTCAGCACCTTGAATATTTCTCCCGTCTGGCCTGCATGGTTTCTGTTGGGAAATCAGCTGACAATCGTATGGGTGCTCCTTTATAGGTAACTACCTGCTTTTCTCTTGCTGCTTTTAATATTCTCTTTGTCTTTTGCTTTTGGAATTTTAATTATGATTTGTCTTGGTGTGGTCCTCTTTGGGCTCCTTTTGTTTGGGGTTCTGTGTACTTCCTGGACTTGTAAGTCTTATTTCTTTCCCCAGGTGGGGAAAGTTTTCTTTCACTATTTCTTTCAATATGATTTCGGTATCTCTCTCATCTTCTGGGACCCCCATAATTCTGATGTTGGTTCGCTTGAAGTTGTCCCAGAGGTTTCTTACGCTATCTTCAATTTTCTGGATTCTCTTGTCTTCTTGCTTCTGCAGAGGAGTGTCCTCTGGTTCTTTATGTTCCAAATCTTTGACATGATTCTTGCGATCTTCCATTCTGTTTTTAGGACTCTGTATAATATTTTTTTTATTTCAGACAATGTGTTCTTTATTTCTTGTTGATCCCTTTTCATATCCTCGTAAGTCTCATTTATTTTATCCGCTTTTTCTAGGAAATTCTTGAAAAACCTTATAAGCGTGGTTTTGAACTCTATATCCAGTCACTTTTTGTCCTCCATTTCTTTCGTTTGTGATCTGTTTCCTTGTCTTGGCAATTTCGCTCCTTCTCTGAGTTGGTTAAGGTGTCCTGTATGGTTCAGTGGGTCAGCCTCCCAGTTATTTGAGGTGGTACCTCTTGGTGCACCCCTTTGTGGAGTGTGTGTACAGTCTTTTGTAGTTAAGTCTTAATTGTTGTTGGTATCACTGGGAGTAACTGACCTCCAGGCCAATTGGCTGTGAGGATCAGCTGTGTCTATGCCAGGAGACAGCCTTATTTAAAAGCCTCTGTGCTCCAGCTTGGATGGGGCGGAGTTTCAGGGTGGAGCCTACAGGCTTGGCTTCCTGTCAGCCCTACCCTATGAGGTTCCTGAGTCTCGGTGTTCCTCAGTGTCCCTCAGTGTCCTTTGGTACTCGCTGCAAGCACCTCTGAGAGAAAGGTGCCCTTGAGTTTCGCCCACTAACGGACATTCTAGTCTCTCCCCCAATAAGCCCGGAACTAGAGTTCAGTGCAGTTGGAAGTGGGGTTCAGTGCAGTCCGGAGCTTTTGTCTCCTTCCCGCTAGGGCAATCCAGCGGCACAGTCAACAGTCCCTCTCTGTGCACATTGTGCGCCACTCTGGGGCTCTGCCTTTCACCGCTCCCCTGAGTTTCCGCCTTACAGCCTGGAATCCCTCTGTATGAGCCTGGGACTCCAGGGTCTCGCCCATAACTGGGGTTCAGTGCAGTCGGAACTGGGGTTCAGCACAGTCCGGAACTTGTATCTCTTTCCCACTAGGGAATGCCAACTAGGCACTCACCTGCCCCTCCTCTCCGGCTCTGTCCTCTCTCCACATGCGCACTGTATCTCCATGCCTTAGGCTTTTACAGCTTCTCTGATTTTCCTTCTGGTTTTCTTTTTCCTTCTAGTTGTAGAATTCCCAGTCAACTTTCCTGTAGTTCTGGATAATGTCCACTTTATATTTTTTGAAATTTTTGTGTGAGGCTGCAGTTAGGCGTTTACCTATGCTGCCATCTTGGTTTCCTCTCACTCAGATTTAATTAATTTTTATTTATTTATAATTTCTGTATATTTTGCAATGAATGTAAGTTGTCAAAGAAGATACTGTCTTGCAGATTAAGTTACTAAATGAGAGTAACAGGAAAAAATAATGCAGTGTTAAGATTTTTATGGAATCATAAAAAGAAAGTTACCTACATGTAGGTTCAAAAAAGTCTCCTGATCTCTACTGCATTCACACATACAGGTGTGGCATACTCTCCATTCCACTAAATACTGCTTTTTATTTCAGGACGGGAACACTTCATCCACAGTGAAATATTCTATAAAAAATTGTACTTTGAAAATCTAATTCGTAATAGAAGTGAAAATTTAAAAAGTGCAGCCTTATTTTCTTTATACTATGCTTGATTGAATTAAAAAATTTGTTTTAGCAACTTTTTAAGAAGTGAAACAATTATTTTTTTGTTAGGAGGATGAGAATGTGCCCACTGCTCCTGATCCTCCAAGCCAGCATTTGCATGGGCATGGAACAGGCTTCTGCTTTGATTCCAGGTAATTTTTCTCTTTCTTATGTAAAATGTGAATAGAACATGACTCTCTAAGTTTGGTTTCTGCCAACTTGTTAGAAATGCATGTGATTAGGGACCTACTTCATTCTTTCTGAACTTAAAACTCTTGGTGTTTTAACATGCCTTCTTGGTGATGCTTATGCACAAAATCCTTAGAGAACCAGTGCTGTGGACATGCTCAAATGAACACTGTTGGAATGATAAGATGTATTAATTTTTTATAGGTTTATCAGTAGCATTTTTGGTTAAAAATTGAATTCTTGTCACTAAGCCTCATTTCACATAATGTAATTTGGGGGACTTGAAGGTTTTCTTTGTTGATCTAAATGTGAAAATAAATTTAGAGGCTTTATAAATGGTTTATACAGTTGTCAGTAGCAACCATTTAGAAGCAGGTTTCTGGAGTAACTGAAGACTTTCAAGGTAAATTGTTTAGTATGAATATCAGCTTAACTAGATAAATGTAGCCTTATCATATTCTGAAGAATACTGTTGTTGGATATATATTAGAAATATGTAATTCTTTCATTTTCCTGTTTCTTTAAGCTTTGATGTTCACAAGAAGTGTCCCCTCTGTGAATTAATGTTCCCTCCCAACTATGATCAATGCAAATTTGAAGAACATGTTGAAAGTCACTGGAAGGTGTGCCCAATGTGCAGCGAGCAGTTCCCTCCTGACTATGACCAGCAAGGGTTTGAAAGACATGTGCAGACCCATTTTGATCAGAATGTTTTAAATTTTGATTAATTACTTTTTGTTATGAGTTAATACAGTTAGGCAGTTTAAAAAAATAATCTCAAATAGACCACTAGGAGCCACAGGTAATCACTTCTGTGCACTCTCTCCTGTACTCTGACCAAGATCTACTTTGAGTTTGGTGTTACTAGGATTGGGGTGAATCAAATATAATTTTAACCTCTTTTAATCTTACCTGCTTAAGAAAAGTTCTTGGGTGTTTGTATTTTCATTTATTTCCCCAGTTTGCAAAATTATATGACTAAAGGAAACAAGGATTATTCTAATGTTACTGCATTGGGGGGAAAAAATATTATACTTAATTATTTAGCAGAATACAAGTTTCTGTTGAACTTGTTGGTTGAGCATGACTACTAAATATTATGTAATAATAAAAAGCATTTATCATAATAGTCTTGCAAAGTAATTCTTTTTTCAATACAGAAATTTGCATAATTTAGCCCATGAAATGATTTTTTTTAAGCCTCTTAAGAAATGGAGCTCTGTGTAGAGTGAGATCACATATGCTTGCAGTATGGCAAATATTCTTTTTATATTTGAAGTTATTTTGCTTTAGGAATTAAGGGAAGGCATATTTTACTAATTTTTTGACTAAATTTTTTTTAGAATAGCCTGAACAGTTATGTTTAAGCCATCTTAAAGTTATATTTCTACCCAATGGGAAAATGGAACAAGGTATGTTGTACAATTGTTTCATATTATATGATCTACTACATAGTGATGTTTGTGGCATAAAATCACAGAAAATGTATCCTTTTCCACAGTTTCCTAATTAGATATAATTTTGAAATAACATTCTCAGTGATTAAAAATGTACTATGTAAATAAGTTGTATTTCTGCCATGTATAGTATTCTCATTAACATTAAAGAGGACACATTTTTGGAGGTGATTTTATTGTCAAATTTATTTGTGATTGGTTTTCATTAAGTATTATCTTGAACATCTTTTTTAGTCGGAATTTTTAAAATGTTTTCTGAACTGTATAAGAATTTAAAGTATTGTTGTTTTTATTCTGCTGAAAATACTCAAGCTTGTCCAAAACAAATTAGCTATGTAAGATGTTAAGTCATCACTCATTGTGGTTGCCTTTGGGGTACAGCGTATGAACTTTATCATACATCTGTATGTTTCTAGTTGCGGAATTTGTGCGTGCTTCAGCAGCTCAATTGGGAGAGTGGAGGACTGATGGCTGTGTCTAGGAGTAGAATTTTTCTGTTGCTGGAATTCCTTTAAAAAGATCTTTTAGTCTAGGGAACTAGATGTTTAGGGAACTCCATATTTTGGCTTCCTGAAGGTCACATGATAAGCAGAATGTTTCAGAGAAATATTGATATACAAAGCATGTTCTCAGACCATGCTCTGTGTGAACTTTGTGTATTCTGTTGGATAAAGGATCAGTAGTTCAAAACAATACGTACTTATATAATAGTTAATTGTTGAGTTGAGTTCTTACTGATTCTCTAATTGCTGCATTGCTAGAGTGGTGTTGCTATCTCAAAGTAAAATAGTGTATTTATCACTTTAGCCTCCCATATTTTGATGTGCTGTTTTTAGGCAAATTTAAGCAAAACCTCCCATATTTTGATGTGCTGTTTTTAGGCAAATTTAAGCAAAAAATTAAACTCTACCTGCTGAATCCTGGGATGTTGGCGGGAGGAAGGAAAGGCAGCCTAAGGTAGAACAAGGCACTGAGGAGGTCGTTTCTGTGAACTTGATACGGCTTTTCATGATGGATGCTAGTGAAAACCAAGAGCCATGTTTATTTTGGGTCAGAGACAGTTTATTTAAAATTGATTTCATTTACATTTATAAGCAGCTTTTCTTGACAGGATTTTGATTCAAGTTGCCTTCAGTTCTAAAACCTCTGTCGCTTTCAAACTTAATGTGCTCTGTCCCAAACAAAACATATGAAAATATAATTTAAAGCACAGTTTTCACAGACACAGTACAATACATTCACTATACACGGTATAACAAAATATTCCCATCCTTATCTTTAGTAATACTGTCACAATGAATAAGCAAGTAGAAGTTGGAATTTGTTTTATAGTTGAAAGAAATGTTAACATGCACAATGACTATTTTATGGCTGTTTAGCTGTTGATCCAGCCTGTGATTTCTTGCACTAGAAAGAGCAGAAGCTAAATAACTGATGGCCTAAAAAAATTTGGTCAATTATAGGTAACTGTGAAACAGCCAGTAGGGCTTTCTTATGCACAACCGATGGCTTTTTCTGTTTGGATCACCCTTTCCAATATTCAGAATAGCACTGTATTTCAGGACCAAGACCATGCTTCTGAGGAGATTTTTAAAGGGCAGTGTCTTTATAAATACTTAAAAATCCCTCATTATGAGGGATTCACAACTTAAGAATATAGAAGCTTACTCATCTGGCTAACAAATATGGGAAGAAAGTTATTTTGTAAGCAATGCAAGTTTGCGACTCACCTGTTTTGTGAGCAGTTGGCCACCTCAAAGCAATTTTTATTGTATAATTAGGCAACTGGTAAACTCATGTTCAAGGAATAGCACTTGGGAGAAAAGAACACTCAAGGCATGATAGTATTGTTGGTGAGAAAAACTTCAGGAATGGTCCAGACGTAGGTTATTCTAACGGGTCACGGGTCATATATTAGTCATTCTTTGACCACCTGCTGCAAGAAAGCACTTAATTCTCAATAAGGCTCAATTTCATTTCGGCAAATTGTTTTATAAAGCTAAACACGTTTCCAGTGGAACACAGACATCTACAATGTGATAGGAAAAGTGCCTTTATAGTCTAAAAACAAGGAACATGAAGAGGAGGCAGTAGGGGCCTAACAAAAATGTTCCCCTTTGAACCATGCTTGGAATTTTCTTATTGTAACCCACAGGTTTGTTAGGGCAGTGGTTGTAAGAATTGGCAACACATAAAACATTAAATCTGTTGGCAATAGAGAACTACAAAGTGCTTTAAAACTTCACCTAAAGATGAAGATAGAAATAAATTTCACACAAAATTTGTACGTATTTCAAAATGTTTCCTAACAGATTTCAGGGAAACCTATTTCACTAAATTGGTATCTTGTTCTGCAATTATCAATAGACATAAATTGAATCCCTTGCACTCAATAAATGTGTAAAATTAATGAGTGAACTGAACAGACTATTATTCAAAAATGCCATTTATAACACTAAAATAATTGGTAAGTCAGATGGCAAGATTTTCAGCTTTTTAAAGGGCAAAAGGACTTGCAAGATAATATAAAACACAGAAAAGCATACCTTTTTATGTATGTTATTTAAATATGAAAATATTTTTAGCATATGTTAAACATTCTTTCTTAATTTATATTTCCATTACCTAAAGTCTTTCTACTCACAAATACTAACTCCATTATGTAAGGCATGATAACCAGTTTGATAATGAAGGTATTATTTTGGTTTTGAACATAGTGAGTTGATGTGTTAAAAAAACCTCAGTCACACTACAAATCTTGGGGGGGGGAAAGCAAACCTCTGTGCCAGCCCCTCCTCCCCCAACTGCTATACAACTGAACAATATGCAACATGCCCTCAACCATATTTGTTTTGGGGGAAATGTGCTGAGAACCTAGAGCTTTTTTTAGCACCTTATATCAAAGTAATGAAAATGGATATGATGATTACATGTGCAAATGTACAAAATCATTAACTCTACAAAGATACATCATTCCAAAATTACAGAAAAAATTTAAAGCATGCATTTACTTCTTTAAAGGGTGGCTGAATGCTTCCCCTGAAAAAAGGTGGCTGTTTTCAAAATCAGCAACTGCTGGTGAGGATTCCTTGGCACAGTTATGACCAGCGTGTTATTGCTGCATCTTCCTGATAATCTCAGCCGACACCGGGGGGTGGAAATTGATTGTGTGGTGCCGCAGGCCCTGAGCTGTCTTGTAACTCTTACCACAACGACATTTGAATGGTTTGCGGACACGAATCTGTGTTCTGTGACCATTCTTAGCATGGTACTTTATGCCATTCACATTCTGTGGAGAAGACAGAAATAATATCACCTATTAGATGGAGGCCTATATTGTCCGTCCTTGGTGTGCTCTTGGATGCAGCTGTGCACATGGGGTCACCCCCACAGCTACCTCAAGGTAATTCAGACACGCCTCACTCCGCAAATGAGAGGACCAACTTCCCGTTGTATATAAAGTATGTGTTTGAGACTCAGAGGCTATATAGAAACACAACTCTGCATCTTTTTTCCTACTCTGGAGGAAGTTAACAATGGGCAGTTATAAAAAAAACATCCTCAGGCTGCTCCAACCCTCTCTTCCCCGAGCCCCCCTCCAAAAAAAAAAAAAAAAGCTAGAAAGGAAGAAAACAGGGCAGGGGCTTTAAGCTGTGTATAAAGTGGCAGCTGTGTGCTGATCCTACCTCCCTGGAATTCCTGTCCGTGCTCTACTCTGCGAGAAGTCAGTGTCTCTGCCATGGTGGGAGCGCCATGCTCACAGTAAGGACCACGGAGCAGACGGAGAGACCTAGACTTCAAACTGGCCTGCAGATCTCACATGGCACACAATGTCTGTGTGTTCTGCAATTGGTTTTGCTTGCTAGTTGGGATGTTCTATGTACGGCTCCATGGCTAGGATCACTACAGATGTAACAGCTACTGCTGCTCATCCCATTAGATGTGAATAAATGGGCTTAGGGCACTGGAGTGGAAGATTTAAGAAGAAATGGCAGAGGTGATACTAGAGCACAAGTCTTGGAAAATTCCTGTCAGCTGTTGCCAGATTAGGGACTAAGAGGGAAGAGAGAGGACCTGAGACAAAGTTGTTGAGCACAGATCACCGGAGTAGGTTGTTTCTGAATCTGGTCCCACATCCAACCAGAGCGCTCTGGCACAGTCTGCTCTGTCTTCACAAGCGGCCCTTTGCGAGCTCCCAGAGAATGGGACGAACTCTCCCCTGCTGTTCCCTGAGCATCTAGCAGTCTGGTATTTAGTGAATGAATGGTTGGAATATGCAGTTCCTCTGGCAGGAGTTGAGAGTTGCCATTAAACGGTGGTTAATTCTACTTACATTTCCTCAGAGTTTCACATGCTCACTGGTACCTTTAAAAGGTTTTGGTAGAGAATCCTGCTTGACTTCGTTGAGCCCAGGGGTGCCAAATAGTGGCCAGGTGGTGGTGCTTGGAGTCTGAAGGTTGTCCAGTGAGTCGAATCACAAGGACCCTCTGCCCTGAACACCTACCTGCTCTTGGCCCTCCTGCACCGATCCCCGTGTGCAGGGCGAGAAAGCGCCTCACTAGTCTTCTAAAGGGATAAGAGCTCACTGCAGTGGGACAATGGCAGAATCAGACCCATTAAAACTATTACAAGGGTAGATATGCCGTGTCAGTCCCCTGCCGGCCCAGCCACCCCACCAGATGCCCAGGCATAGAAGGAAGCCAACCTCCAGCTCTAGCCCCACTGGTACCTTGCTGCAGCCGCGAGAGACCCAGGTGAGAACTCCCAGCTGGAGCCAGGCAGCCCAGAACCATGCAAGGTAAATGGGCTTAAGCTATTTGAAAGAGGAAGAGTTAATACAGTTTTATGACCATTAGAGAAAGATCAACTTTCCAAGTAATAGTAACAACACGTTAGGCAGTCTCCTGGCTCACAAATGCATTTGCCTGCCTCATAGCCTATTTATTAGCTCACTGAGCACCTCCTAGGGTCCCTTCTATGGATGGAGGGTTATTAAAACATCTCCTGTCCTTGTTCTCCCAGGGAACTTGTTACAAGAAGGGTCTTTCTTACACCTGCCCAGCAGGACCACGTGCAGCTTGTCAGGGAACACAGGACCAATAATAAACATTGGGCCAGGAAGCAAAAAGGCATAGCAACGTCCAACAGGATCACACCCTCTCCATCCCACCCCGAGTTTTTATAGTAATTAGGCGAGGGAAGCTTTGAAATCAAATTACCAAAGCCAGTCCAACACAAAGCCAGATCGGTGCTCACCAGACAGACCCAGATTCTGTGCTCCCCACTGGAATATGTACATGGTGGTGCGTGTCTGGCTGTGAGACTGTGAGGAAAACCGCCAACTCCATACATCAGCCCTATTGATCTGGAATAACAAGCCACACTTGGAAACACAGGGTCCAAGAACTTAAGGCCTACCTTACCACCTTTTTCTCTTGCTGTCATTTAAAATTTTCACAAGTGGCCCTAACCTGTTTGGCTCAGTGGATAGAGTGTCGGCCTGTGAACTCAAGGGTCCCAGGTTCGATTCCGGTCAAGGGCGTGTACCTTGATTTCGGGCACATCCCCAATAGGGGATGTGCAGGAGGCAGCTAATGTTTATCGTCAATGTTTCTAACTCTCTATCCCTCTCCCTTCCTCTCTGTAAAATATCAATAAAATATTTTAAAAATGTGTACTTTTATTTTTTCACATGCAGTGGGACACCCTTTCCACAAATGTTAGTACCAGTTCCAATCGGACTACAGATTTCCCCATTCTAGTCACATGCAGAGGTGGGAACTCCCATTTTCTAAGCCCTTGGGGGTTTAAAAAGACTCAAGTTTCTAATTGCAGAGACCTTAAGCTGAGTTTGGTCTTTAAAAGTTAAATAATGACAGGCAGCTGGAAATGAAATGCTGAAACCCTCTGGTCTCTGAAGATAGAAAAGGGAATTTAACTTCACCAGGGCATGGGAGGTAACATACATGAACGTCTCCTGCTGATGGCTTGCTGCCTCATTCAATATCCATGTTTTAGATGAAACGGACACTCAGACGTTAACTCCCTGGAATCATGGAGTCACGGAGCTGCTAAATGACAGAACTGCAGTGGAAACCCAGGGGGCAGATTCCAGTCCGCATTTCCCCCCACAATCCCACACACCTAAGTAAAGGCCAGGTGCTTGCTCCTTAGTGCGCCCGGGTGGTAGGCTTTGGGAAGGAGAGAGCTGCCTGGAGTAAGCAGCCTGCCATGGCCAGCATGGGAAGGGAGGGAGGGTTAGGGCAGGGGGTACAGGGCTGTTGTGGTGGGCTGGGCAAGGCTGGCGCCAGCTCTTTTCTATGCCAGGAAAGACCTACCTAGACGAGGGAACTGGGCCAGACAACAATTTAGTCTTTTCTCCAAATCCCACTTCAAATCAAATCATGAAACCTAAAGTCAAGCTTGGCCATCATGTCCTTAACTGTATTTGATCTTTGTTGTCTGTGTTGAGGCTGAGTAAGGTATGGGACACATGCCCTTGATAGAAAACCATCCCATTCATTTTCCCTCAGCCCTGATGTTCTTCATGAAGGAGAAGGATGAAGTTGCTTGGGGTTTGATGAGGAAGAAAAGAGAAGTGGGGGGGAGTTTGGAACTAGAAGTGAACAGCATATGGGAAGGTTGACAGCTTTAGTCTGCGGGTGGGGAGTCAGTCCGGAAACCGGAGGAGGTGGCATTTGTGCCTTGAAAAGGGCATCCTCGGCAAAGGCATTAACTTGGGGAAACATGGAGACTTAGGTGTCCTTGGGGTGGGTCTCTCTCCTATTTGGTGTGAAGCCTAGAAGTTAAGATACACGTCTTTAGTTCTGCTCATGCCCATGAAAAGGTGAGAAAAGCTGATCCTGAGTCGGTGCCCCAGACACTGACTGTTGGAGAGGCCTGACAATGGGCAGAGAGCAGGCAGATGTGATGTCAGCGGGCATACAGCCCGTAGCGCGTCACTGCCCAGAGAAAGGCGAAAGGAAGCTTAGGGAGTATGACACGCTGTCCCTAGCACTTGGTTAGGAGTAGTAGTTCCATGTTTGTTCTTGTCCCCTTTAATCTTATTTGACATTCTGGTCCAGAAAAGGAAACTTGTACTTCTGTAGGGAGTGTCTATAGGGTTAAGCCTCAGACTGACCAGTTGGCAAAGCCACAAACAAGACCCAGCTTAGAGGGCACAGCCCTCTTAGCATAATCAAGCTTGACCTTCTGGCACCCCCCCCCCCCCCCGCCCCAGGTAGCTAATGGGCTGTGGGAGGGGCAGCAAGTACTGCCAAAACAAGTGAAACAAGCACATTGTAAGTATGGTGACCACTATCTTGTTTACCTGTGGCTCTAAAATAAAGGCTCAGCTTGTGGTATGGATCTCTCTCTGCGGCCTTAGCCAGGCACAGCAGATCCACCTGGATCCAGCTTATTCTCTTCGTCTTTTCTACATCCTTCACCGCCCTCCCTCAGGCTCACTGAACCCTTGGCTGTGCTGGCCCAGCACACTTCCCTTGTGGGACTTGGGACCATGGATTGCCACCACCGCTGTCATCAGGGATGCTGAAGGAGCCCAAGGGTCCCTCGATTTTCTTTTGGCCTTACGTGGAGAAAAAGCACCCCCCAAGTCCTCTGTCGGCCCAGACCTGGACAACTACTAGAGGAAAATGCTAGAAACCCTAGAAAAATAAAAGCAGAAGAAGAGTGACACACAAATGTCCAAGCGGCAGGGTGTAAGAAAGGAGTGAAGCTAGAGATGGGACAGAGAATGCCTCTCCTCCTGAGCTGGGATACAGGGGGTAGTGGTACTGCAGTGAGCAGCAGTCTCTGGAAAGCGGGCCAGCACAAGGACTGTTCCCCAGTAAACTCTCCACTCCGAAATAAAAAAAGGGAAAAGCAAAAACAAACCTTTGTGCAGTGCAGAGCTGCCTCTGGGAAAAAGCTGTCTGACAGTCCCCTGGGGTCTGCATCCTGTCCTCTCCTGCCTCCTGCCTTCTGAGACCTGTTTGGATCCTGCAGTTTCATTCTAGTCAAACACAGCGCATCTGAACTGGCCACATTGAGGTTTTCACAGTCCACAGAGCTGGTGAAGTCTTGGGCCACTTACCTTGCAATACATTTGTTTCATTCTTTTATCAGTAGCTGGCATAAAAAGTACTGAAATAGATCATTTTTTAATGTTCAGAGATGCATACTTAAGAAAGCATGTAAGTGCTTAGCTAGCATACATTTTTTAAGCTCAGTCACTGAGTTCCTGGAAATTAGCATACCAAATACACCAGATATGGTTCTGATTTTTATATTTCTCTCCCAGAGTTGGATTTTAAAGAGCTGCTAACATCTCCTGGAAAAGTTTGCATTAAAATAAAAGTGTCCTCAGCCAACACCCGTGGCTTGCTACGGGTGTTTTATTGTTTTGTCTCACTGAGGTTTTTAAATTAAAAAAGGTAGTGTCTTGGCATCCCGTGACACCAGAGTGAGGTGCCATCTACAGAGGAGGGAGGACGCTGAAGCTGAGGCAGGTGGTTTGGTGAGAAAAGTATCAAAGCCCCTTTTCTCCTGATTTACTTTCATGCCCCTGGGGGCAGGGGGCAGGGGCTTCTCAGCTGGGAGCTACGCTACAACTCCCAAAAGGGCTCTGTGAGCCAGGCCTTTGACACTTCAGAGTGGCCTCCGTGAGCCACCTGGACAGCCCAGCACTGGGGAGGGTGTTCGGCAAATAAACAGGTGATGCATTTTGTATTCTGACTGATAGGACATGAATCTGAAGAATATCAGAGGTATGGTCCTCCCACCAAAAAAAGCTCTTGGCCTTCAACTCCATGTGTCAGTGGGGTAGAAACCCACCGAACACCAAGAGGGCAGCACGTGTCCCAGTGGGGACTGTCCGCGCGCTCCACCAGGCAGAAGGGGCTGCTGTCTGACCTGGGTCGAGCCAATGAGGCGGGCCCTTTACCTTGTATCGCTTTTTACATCCAGGAACTGGGCAGGCAAAAGGCTTCTCCTCGCCTCCGTTCATGCACATGGAGCTGAGGATGGCCTCGGAGCTGATGGCGCTCTCCGTGGTCCAGGACTCATCGCTATCCGACTCCTCGTAGTCCACCTCCTCCTCGTCGTACTCGCTGCCTGCAGGTCACAGAGCACGGCCCGTTAGGAGCAGGCACCTCCCCGCAGGTGCACTCTGGCCCCAGAGCACAGGAGGGGCCGGGACCAGGGGCAGGACGGGCAGCTCCTCCCGCCCTGGGAGAGGGCATTCTAGGCACCAGCGCCTGCAAACACATTGGTGCTGGGACAGGCCTGGTGGGAAGGTCTCTGCATCCCATCCAAGGGACCAGGTTAATGACTTCCCACCAATCCATGTCCAGGAATTGGCTGAGCAGGGGCTTGAACTCAGTACTGTGACAGCTCAGGCTGTGATTGCAAAGGTGCTAGGAAGCCTCGAAGCCAAAAGCAGTGACCAGTGACAATAAACCCCTCCCGCCCCAGGACACGCGCAAGCACGCGCGTGTGCCTGCACACATACACAGACACACGCACACACGCATGCACGCACGCACGCTGCACCTGACACTGCCCCTTAGTTTGATGCTTTTTTGGCCTAGTCCAGTGGTCGGCAAACTCATTAGTCAATAGAGCCAAATGTCAACAGTACGATTGAAATTTCCTTTGAGAGCCAAATTTTTAAAACAACTTCTAATGCCACTTCTTCAAAATAGACTCACCCAGGCCGTGGTATTCTGTGGAAGAGCCACACTCAAGGGGTCAAAGAGCTGCATGTGGCTCATGAGCTGTGGTTTGCCAATCATGTCAATGCAGAGATCTGTGGGAGGGGCTACATTTTATAGCACACTTACTAGGTGTTTGCATTTAGTGGGGATGAATTTCACATATTTAAAAAAAATTTTATATATAGATTATGCTGGAAATTTGGAATTAAAGGGTTTATTCAGAGTTAGGGGACAAATACCTGGAGCTCTGAGGGCAAACTGTCAGGGTCAGAATACAGCTCCAGCTCAGGGAAGACCACCCTTGACCGCAGGGAGCTTACCCAGCATTCCGTGGGAGGCAAGGAGGGCTGGCCCACCCCAGTCAGAGGGTCAGGCGGAGCCAGGATTTTCGGTGCTGCTGCTGGGAACAGCTCTGCCAGTAGTTGAAGTTAAAAATCTACTTCCCTGACTTCTCCGGACAGCAGGGATGGGGAGCCACTTCACCAGCAGCCCCCTTTTGCTCTTTTTAAAAAAAGTATATTTTATTGATTTTTTACAGAAGGAGGAGAGAGCGATAGAGAGCTAGAAACGTCGATGAGAGAGAAACATCGACCAGCTGCCCCTTGCACACCCCCTACCAGGGATGTGCCCACAACCAATGTACATGCCCTTGACCGGAATCAAACCTGGGACCTTTCAGTCCGCAGACCGACTCTCTACCACTGAGCCAAACCGGTTTCGGCCCCTTTTGCTCTTTTTAAATGAGGCCCAAAGCCATTTACTTTGAGCTTTTGCACAATTCAACCCCGAAGGACATAATTCTACAGATCATAAACAGTGTAAAATAATATGTTGACAAGTCCTAATGCATTTACAAGCCCGGTGGAATAAATAGGAATTATAGCACAACATTAATAAGACTTATCTGGTAGCAATTACAGTTGTGAAATTCATCCCCCAGGTGTGAGGCTAAATTGCACCAGGGACCTGCCTGGGTGCTCCGTGGCGCGCTCTGCTACATCAGTTATTTCAACACCAGATATTGGCACTTTTATTGGGTTTCATTTTAATAGGCATTAATAGGATTGTTTGAAGAGCCTGTTGAGCCAGGAACAAGGATGCCAGCATCTGAGGCTCACACTTAAAAAGGAGGAGCCCGGGAGGAAGGAAGGGACCTTGGGTTGATTGAGTGCCTCTTACGTTTCACGCACGCTAGACGCCTTATCTCACTTAATCCCCCAGTGACCCTGTGAGGCGGGGACGGCTGTCCCTTGCACACATTTGAGAAAACCGATCCCTGCGAGGCTCAAGAGCTTATGCATTCTCAATTAGCCACTAAGGGTGGTCGCTTTCCCCCACACCACTGCTGGCCCCCAGTGCCAGCCGCTCTCCGCAGGGGTCCCTCCTAGCCCTGTTGCTGGTTCTTCACCATCCACCCCTCAGATGGAATTCAAAGTCATCTGTTTTGAAGCTCGTGGATGGTGCAGGAAAACGTTTGGCAAAAGCAAGGCCCCGGAGGTCACTGTGGGTTTGGGTGAGGCCCGCTGTGCTTGGCCGTGGCCCCCAGAAATGAGATCGCTTTGGAAACACTCACGTAAGACAGCCCAGGGTCCGCGCCACATCTCTTGAGTTAAAGCAAGTCTCGAAATGTGCTTTTAAACAGGGCGTTGTTAAGACATTTCACTCAAACAAATGCCACATGCTGGCGCCTTTAAATTGCTTGTTAGAGAACCAGACCCGCTATTTCGCAAAGCTCCTCCAGCAGGGCTTCAGGAGGCCAGAATGACTCGTTTATCCATCTCATCGGGCTCATTTGTGAACCCGAACACCCAGAGCCACACAACATTTACGATGGCGGGAAAGCCTCCGACCGAGGAGGGCTTAATGAAGCCCAGCAGAAGGGAGGACCTCAAAACTGCACCAGATCAAAGCGGCCAGGCCCGAGGGGTGCGCGCTTTGGGTACAGTCACCTGCAAGCCACGTGGCATCCACAAATAGTCATTTCTGCAGAAGTTTGCAAGCAAAGGTAAGTATTTCCTCTGTGTGAAAGAGGGAACTCAAACCCCAACCCCCTGTCTGTCGATGTGAGTGGGGCAGGGAGTTGGGGTGGAACGATTTGGAGCATGAGAGTCACAGGAAGCACCAACTACCCCCCTGGGGCCCAGAGCCGGCATGCAGGCGTCCCCAAGGCCACCCTCCTCCCAAGTTCTGCTGAGGAGCTGGGTCTGGGGTCAGAATTCTGGAACTTAACGGGCCAGTGAACCTTACACATTTTAAGGACTCATGGTCATGGTGACAGCCGTCTGTCTGGGGCGTCCTTCCTTCAAGCTGCTTGGTCAAGATTCTAAGCAGGGAAAGGCCACTTTGGCACATACCCATTCATCATCATCATCCTTCCTCCTCCTCCACCCCGCCCCCTTTCTGCAAGTCAGCCCTGAATCCTGTGAGTGCCACCTGGATGGGACTGGGTGTCACAAAACAGGAAAACCTGCTCTCTACCAACACCCCTCCCCACACTTCAATACTCAAAGGGTCCAGAGGAGAGCTTTCTCACAACCAAAGAGAGAATCCACAGGCCAAAATTAAGAAAAACAGACAAAGATCCTATGGAAACAGCTTCGTTAGAGCAACGGTGGCCGGTTAGTGCCACCTGCCCTCTGAGTCGAGCCACCTGGGGAAGCTGACAGAGCAGAGACAAAAGTGGAGACATCCCCTGTGTTTAAAACAAAGACGGAAGGACTGGCTCAGGCTTCTAATTCTGATGAACCCCATTCTCAGAAGACAGCTGACCTACATCTCAAAAGGGACCCAAGGTCAGAGGACACACAGGACCAGTGGCTGCTGGGAGGCCGGGGAACACCCTGTGAGTTAGCCCAGCAGCCATTCTGGCAGGATGGTTCTGGTTTGTGCTGAGGCTGTTACAACATTCCATGGCTCTGAGGCTCCACCTCAACCCTCGTCCCATAATTCCTGGGATTTTTAGTACACCAGTGGGCAGAATCGTATTTCAGGAACTCATAAGTGGCATGAAAGCCCAAATGCCTGGTTTTTAGATATGCCCTTCAATTTGTTCCTTAAATTCTGGTATTTACCTGCATACCCGAACCTGTCTGCACTTGGATTTGTTTTTCCTTTCCTTTCCTTTTTTCTTTTTTTAAAAAAATATATTTTATTGATTTTTTACAGAGAGGAAGAGAGAGGGATAGAGAGTTAGAAACATCGATGAGAGAGAATCATCGATCAGCTGCCTCTTGTGCACTCCCTACTGGGGATGTGCCCGCAACCAAGGTACATGCCCTTGACCGGAATCGAACCCGGGACCTTTCAGTCCGCAGGCCAATGCTCTATCCAATGAGCCAAACCAGTTTCGGCTGGATTTGTTTTTTCAGTGGGAAACTAGCCGCCCAAGGATGAGCAGGTTTTGTTTCATACACGCAGTTCTGGGGGCAGGAGGACTTGGGAGATGTCACTGCCATTTAGGTTTGGGCGGTGGGGGTGGGAGAATAAGGACACACATAATACCTTAATAAAATTAAAAAGATTAAAAAAATCAACATCTAGAAAAAAATAAAATGACATTCACCAGTGTTAAGAGTTTCTACGAGAAAATGTAACTTAACTGTCACATGTTAATATTGGTGGCCACTAACTTTCTTGGATTGGCGTTTCCATTTCACACTCCACGGGGGCACCGTCCCATAGGGGGCCTGAGCTGGGCAGAAACAGAGGCTGGGAGGACTCTGGGGGCCCCGGGAGCTCATTCCAGCATTTCAGTTTGGGAAGTGAGAAAACTTTAGCTAGGACTTCACAGTAAGACAAACATATTCCCATAGGACTGCCGAAAAGTCCTACTGGCTGTCAGCAAGAGAAGTCCACACTGGAGCTGGTTTCATGAATCCCGGAAAAGGTTTCATGAATCACATGAAAAAGCAAGGTGGTCCGGAGCACCTGTCCACACACTCACACACCCACCGGGCCCGAGGGCCCAGGAGCCTCCAGGGCTGCTACCGAGCTCACTCACCATCACGGAGCCATTTCCGATCTCGGCCCCTCTCCTTCCCTCCCCTCCAACCTCTGCCCCGCTGCCCTTTGCTCACCCTTTAACCGTATGCATTTGGCTGCAATCCATTCTAGTACCTACACTCTTCTCACTTCGTATTCATAAACATAGTGACATACAGATAAAAATAAGTCAACCTTTTCCAGAAACCCAACACGCCACATTTGTCTTATAACACAGGTCATTAATATTCATGAAAAAGGGATAACTGCAGTGACAGCAAATTAAACTCTCCTGGGGTGTCAAATTCTGGCAAATACATTAGCAAAGAGTTGCCTAAGATTTATCACTATAAATTAGCTTTAATTGGTACTGACCCACTTTATAGGAGCCGGTGCAACAATAGTCTAAACGAACCG